GATTTTCTTGATTGATTTTGCATATCCATTACATTGTTTAATTGATTGGCCACAAATTGAATAATTAGTTGCTTATTGTAGTGTTGAGAGACTCACAATAAGTTTAGAATGCGGCAAAATTAACTTATGTAAATAGACTTAGAAATAATCCTTATCACATATGCAATTACATATATAACCTATAATTTAATGCATTTAAGTCATATGAATTCGAACTAGGAATATGATTGCGTTGTAATTAGAATATACTTAATTTGTCTCCGAAAAGAGAATTAAATATACTAGTGTTATCAATTGTCACGAAAACAAGAAATTGACTATATTATGAATCAAAAATTAAAATAAAAGGCAATAGAGGATTCAAAATCCAATACAATCATTCACATATTTGACAAAATATTTTTTATTGCTTTCTAACTTTAGAATTGGTTTGAACAACAACAAAATCACGTCTTTTGTGTCACGAACATCGAATTTAGAAGTAACTAGTGACCTAGAATTAAACATTATTCCTCGTATCGTAGGACGATAACTAACAACTCACTTTATTATTAATTGTCAACGATCCCGTACGCTTACAAACACAAACCCTTTTGGTTGTTCAATATAGACCTCATTTTCGAGATCTCTATTTAGGAATGTCATCTTAACATCCATTTGATGAACAAGTAAATCTTAAAGTAATGCCAGTGCAAACGAGATCCTTATCAATGATATTCTAGCCATAGGTTCGTATGTGTCAAAATAATCTATTCCTTCATTTCATCGATACTCTTTAACTACTAATCTAGCTTTATAGGTATTTAGAGTTCCATCGGATTTATATTTCTTTCTAAACACCCATTTACAACCAATAACTTTAGAACTCCTTTGGTAAATCAACTTTTTCCCGGGGGTTATTTGATATAATGGAATCCATTTCATTATCATAGGTTCGTATGTGTCAAAATAATCTATTCCTTCATTTCATCGATACTCTTTAACTACTAATCTAGCTTTATAGGTATTTAGCGTTCCATCGGATTTATATTTCTTTCTAAACACCCATTTACAACCAATAACTTTAGAACTCCTTTGGTAAATCAACTTTTTCCCGGGGGTTATTTGATATAATGGAATCCATTTCATTATTATCTCCTCTTTCCAAAATATACTATCTCTAGAAAATATTGCTTCATTATAGGTTTTAGGATCATTTTCAACTTGAAGAAAAAAGAGAGTTGTTCTTACAATGTCCCTCCTATCTCTTTCTATTAAGTAAAAGAAATAAGTTGAGAATCTATTTCATCCGATCCTAGAGATTTTTCTTTTCTGTGTCTCTCACTTCTTCGAGGTCCACTTTCAACAACTTTTAGTCTATTTTTGTGGTTCTCTAGAATTTAGATCGTCTCCAATATTTTGAGATTTTCTTCTCGAAGAATTCCACATCATTTGATTCTATTATATTGTCTGACTCTAAATTTAACAACTTGTAGGCCTTGCTATTTATAGTGTATCTCACAAAAAGCACATTTGATACCTCTAGGTTCTAATTTAGTCCTTTTGAGATCCCTTTTCTTATAATAAGAAAGACACCCTACACTTTAAAATAATTAATATTTGGTTTCCTTCATTTTTCACATTTCATATGGAGAGATCTTATTCTTCTTCAAAGGAATCCTAGTTACTATATAACAAGCACTAAGTAAGGCTTTATCCCATGATTGAATGGCAATTCATAATTCAATAACATAGCATTTATCATCTCTAATAATGTTTTATTCTTTCTTTCTGCTAGACCATTCTGTTTTGGTGTTCAAGGTGCAGAAAATTGATGTATTATTTCATTTTGTTCACAAAATATATTGAATTCATTAGAGAAATATTATCTACCTCTAGTACTTCTTAGAGTCTTTAGTTTCCTTTCTAATTGATTTTCAACTTGAGCTTTATGTCTTAAAGGCACTAAAGGCTTCATTCTTATACTTTAACAAATATACATAAGTATACACAGAGCAATCACAATGAAAGTAATAAAATATCTATTATCACCTCTTGTAGCATGTCATTTAGTTCACATATATCGAAATGAACAAGTTCGAGTAAGATTGTTGATCTTACCACACTAAGAAATGACTTTTTAATCATCTTCAATTTAATGCATATTTCATATTTTTCTAAGTTATCAATTTCACAATGTATCAATCTATATTTAGCCATTTTTTTCATAATGTTAACTCTTATATGTGCTAATCTACCATGCTGTAAATTAAATGAATCAGTATCAAAAGAAAAAGACTTGGTTTTATTAGAGTTATTCTCAAGAGTATAGAGTTTGACCATTCCTTCAATGAAATAGCCATTTCCATCAAAATGCCCATTATAGGTTATTATAAGCTTTCCAGATCAAAAAATAGATTTAATTCTTGGTTTTCCCAATAGAACTCCACTTGCTAAGTTTTTATTTATTTCTCGTACATGAAGGACATTTATCAAAGTGATCTTCTTTTTTGAAGTGAAAATGAGTTTCACATTGCTTTTGCCAACCACTTTCGATCTTCTTTCATTTCCCATTTGTACCTCTTGACCATCTTCAATGTCATGATAATTTTTTAAAAAAGACTTATCATAAAAAACATGGATAATTGCACAGGTGTCATACCATCAACCCGGAACTTTCCCTTGGATGGAATTGATTTCAATCAATGTAGCGATAATCTCATCAATGGAGTTTACTTGTCATTCATTCTTTTTTTGTTTCCTATTCTTGTAATCTATTGCATAGTGTCCCCATTTTATAAAAGCATAGCAAGGTCCCTTGGATTTGTTTTTGAACTTCCCTGGATCCTTTTTGGGACCAAGAGGTTTTCCTTTCTTTTTATACTTGTTGGAATTGACCACATTATCTACGGTATTGGCTTTTGAAGAGCCATCATAAGAACTTTCAGTTTTATCTCTTACCCTTGACTCTTCCTCAATGCAAAGATGCTTTTGAATATCTTCCATAGAGAAGTCTTCAAAATTGTGAAGAATCTTCTTCATATATCCTTTCCAAAATTCAAGGAGTTTAGCAATAATTGCTCCCACTTGAAAGGTTTTGAGAGTTCGATTTTCACCGTTTTCAAATTATTGACTATGATTTGTAATTCATGTACTTGAGGAAGGAAAGTGATATTATGAAGTATCTTCAAATCAAAATATTTAGAAATTAAAATTTTTTTGATACCTTCCTTCTCGACCTTATATTTTTTTCAAGTGCATTTCAAATTTCTTTGGTTGAATCAGTGTTGGTGTATAGATCATATAATCTATCCGAAAGAGCATTAGGATGTGACCGCGACATATCAATTCGTCCTCTTCCCTTTTCTTTCTTCTAGCACGAACCTTTTCAGTATATTTGTCAGTTGCATCCGGAATTGGCTTAAAGTTTGGATCAAGCACGTAGAAGATTTTTAATGCCGTTAGAAGGAATTTGAGTTTGTCCTGCCATCTCGTGATATTTGATCCATCAAATCTATCCAAGCACACCAAATCTTGATTCATCAACTTGATTGTAGCAAGTATAGATTTCATCTCCACCACGATAAAATGACGAATATCATTTGAAAATGGAACTAAAGGAGGAAGAAAAAGATGAATATATATTGAAAAAGACTTGAACATATATCTTTGTGCTCAAACAATATTTGCCTCCTCCGACGATACTTTTAAGGATTGAAAATGACAAATAGTTTGTAAGATTGATCCAACCTCATTGAAGAACACCAAAAGCAAAAGTGACTCTTCAAAGTGAACTAGTGAAAAACAATAGAAAATTTGATTATGTGAAGGAACAAAATTTCTTCAATAGTTGGATGAACTATATAATGAATTTCATGTATTTAGGGATGAACACCGTCATGTATTTGTAGTTTTCAATCATCCCTACACGAAGTGGTTCCAACTCAAAAGGAAAATGTGTAATGTTTCACCAATAAACCACCAAAAATTCGAAAAATTTTGGCCAACGGTCAAATTTTAACACTATGTGACCGCATAGGCTATAACTATGCAGTCACATAATTATAGCTTTGGCTGCAAAAATTCTCTGTAAAACCATATGCGACCGCAAACCTCAAAGGCTTATGTGGTCGCCTAAGCCATTTTCATGGCATATTTTTCCCTTTTCTTTTATCCACTTACTTAGTTTTAAACAACAAGATTACAACAGAAAATCAGCTGAAGAAACTTATGAACAGTGAAGAAGAGAGATCGAGGGAAAAGAGTATTATGCAATATGAAAAAGAAGACGAATTTGCAAGAAGGAATAAACTCAACAACAGTATAGTTGACATCCCAGACACTTCCGGGGTGAAAAACCGGTAAAAGAAGAAGATCGGGGTTATGAAGAAAAGAACTAAGATCGGACCGGATTCTCCCCTTCCACTACCTGAAGAATTCAAGAATGCAAATAAAGAACTGGCAACGCAAAACCGGTTTTCGATTCCGCTAAATTCAGTTATAGGAGAGTTTCTCAAGGATGAAGAGAAAGCCCATCTTTTGAAACGCCTCAATGGCAAGCTGGCGTCCACACAGTGACACAGGTAACCATTACTGATTCCTTGCTAATAACCGATACAGTAAAATTGAGGAGATGGCCGATGAAGGAAAAAAAAGGGGGAAGGAAAGCGTATCCTACATGCTGACTGGAAGTTGGACAGAAATCCGGGAGAGGAACAAGTTCGAAATTGGGAACGTTGTGCAACTGTGGTCTGTCCGGATCGAAGAAGAATTGATGTTCTGTCTAGTGAGGTCACCTTGAAATTAGAAGCAGCTTACTTTACAATCTTGTACTATTATTCTGTTTATTTTTTCCTTTGATCTCTACTGTTTATCTGAATTATGAATCTCGTGGTGTTACTTTCTGCTAATTATATTCATGAATATTGTATCAAAACCAGAATTAACT